CACATCTGAAATCCCCCATCCCGGGAAGCCTCTGGTGGTCCTGTGGTTAGGACTCCACGCTTCCACTGTTGAGGGCAAGGGTTCGCTCCCCAGTCAGGGAACGAAGATACCACAAGTCACACAGCATGGCCAAAAAATAAGACCTCCAGTCCTGAAACATCCTCTTCACTTGACCAGTTTTCCTTCCAGACCTGCCTTGCTGTTGTTCAGTCGCTCAATCGTGTCCGACTCTTTGCAACCCCATGGCCTGCAGAACACTAGGGCTTCCCCCTCTCCTTCACTGTCCTCCCCAGAGTTCACTCAAGTTCACGTCCATTGAGTTGGTGATGCCATCCAACCATCTCATCCCTCTGTCGTTCCCTTCTCCTGCCTTCAGCCTCTCCCCCTGGAGACAGGAAATCTTCAGCCAGCTGTGGTTGCCACCCTACCCGGTTTCTTGGGAAAGTCAGGTTTTTGAAATACCAATTTGATTTCCTGGGAGAGGACTGGGTTTCCATGATGTACACACACCCTTTCCTAGAGCTTACGGGCTCTGCACAGAGCAGTCGTCGCCTGGTAACATGGTGTGAGCCAGCGCACAGGCCAGGAGCTTGTGTTTTTGTGCATCTCAGGTGACGGAAGTAACAGTACCACCACCACCACTAATGATCATTGCCCGGCCCTGTGTAGCCCCCTTCACCCTCGGGAGGCACTGCTCTAAGCACTTTTACATTAAAGCATTTAACGTTTGCAAAGTGACTCAAATGTGTGCCTTTAGGACTTAGAGCTGGGTCATGTTAAAGAGAAATATTTAGTGTATTTCTATAGATATAGTTATTCTAACACATGAGACCATTTCGTGGTAAACTCCCCAAGTATCAGTTCAGTTTGTGACCCCCAGGGGCTGCAGCACTTCAGGCTTCCCTGTCCTCCGCTATCTCCCAGAGCTTGCTCAAACTCATGTCCATTGAGTTGGTGTTGCCATCCAACCATCTCATCCTCTGTCGTCCCCTTCTCCTGTCGCCTTCACTCTTTCCCAGCATCAGGGTCTTTTCAAATGAGTCAGTTCTTCACATTGGAATTTCAAGCTTCAGCATCAGTCATTCCCAAAGCATAATGGCCAAGAAAAGCAACTGTCTTCCTTCCCCGTGGACAGTTTTGTTTTCCTGCATCTGACAGTTTGTTGGGAGATGAAGAGAGCTTTGATTTTCACATATACATGCATATGTGCTGAGTTGCTTCAGTTGTATCTGACTCTTTGCAACCCTATGGGCTGTAGCCCATACCAGGGCTCCTCTGTCCATGGGATCCTCCAGGCAAGAATACTGGAGTGGGTTGCCATGCCCACCCACCGCCAACCCCAGGGATCTTCCTGACCCAGGGACTGAACCCATGTCTCCTGCGGCTCCTGCATTGCAGGCAGATTCTTTACCGCTCAGCCACTGGGGAAGAAGCCCTTCACATACACAACTAGGATATACACAAACATAAGCAGAGCTGGGAAGGCTAGTGGTTTTTCTTGCATGCCACCAAGCATCTCTGGACACGGGCGTTCTGCTACGTGCCAAACAGCCTGACGCTTGAAGTGAGAGGAAAGGGGAGCAGGGTGATGGATGGAGCAAGCGGGCGTCGGAAAACCCAGGCGTTAGCCTGGATGCACTCCCTCATGGGCAATGGTTCTGGCGAAGTCACTGGCTCTGAGGCGGTTTCTTCCACAGTAAAATGAGAGGGCTGGAGTGTATCTCTTGGCCCCCAGTTCGCTGTGGTGTACCATGACCCGCTGCCATGGAAACAATACAAACGTTGAAGTGGGGCTTAAACCTCACCTTCCACTTGAAACCATGTTTTCCCTTCAACTCTTAAGGCTTCTAAGATCTGCCTTAACTAGGAGAGTTGATTAGAGGAGAGGACACATACATACATAGACTGAGTCAAGACGAGCCAGTGAGGGTCCCGGGGGAGACAGAGTGGGCTGGAGAACGCCCCCACCCCAATTCCCAGCTTGTGTCTGGCGTCACTCACGACTGCTTCTCCTTCCTCTATGTACCAAGTGCCCCATCTTTTTGGGGGGCTGCATGGTGTCAGGATATGGGCCCCCAGTTGGTCCTGCAGTGTTCTGAGGGTCACAGAGCTGGGTCCATGCCAATGAAAATCATCACAACCACACAAGGGAAGACCAGCAGCTGACAGCCTCTAAATTGAATAGTCCTCACTAGGGTTGAGAGAAATTTGGGTGTCTTTCACCCAAGAAGTCTCCTCCCCTCCCCAAGTTTTGCAAAGAATTAGGAGCTTCCAGACCCACTTGGACCCCTTGATTGCCCTCCCCCCAGCCCCCCCAGAGGCCACAGAGTGAATCCCAAGCTGTGGGTTTTTGGTGTGGTGGTGTTTGCTTCCCACAGGCTGAAGCTTCTCTGCATATCTCGGACTGAATAACGAGGGAAAAATGAAACCTTAAGTCAGGTTCTAGGAGAGCATGCAAGTCAATCTCTTTACAGTTTGTAGCACCTGTGAGCAAAAACCAAAACCCAAGTAGTAGCAGTTACCGTACTGCCCTGACAATATTTGGTACGAAGCCAGTTCTTGTAAGCTTTAGAAACAGGAAATATTTGTCACATGGTTGCTACACTACTTGCCTATTCAGCGAGGCTTCAAAGTGTACACGGGTGTTACTTTGGCACTTGGAAAATCTGAACGTCAACATATAGGCAGGATGCCTGTCATGGCTTGCAATCACCAAAAATGAGAAAATGCAGGACTGGGGTTTGAAGCGTCCCTTATTAGGCCTTGTATTTCAGGTAAGCAGCAGGACAGCTGTTATGTCCTTAGGTTTAGCTTCTGGCTAAACAGGAAATATCCCCCGAAAGCATACAGATCTAGGAGGGAACCATTACCTAAGCCCGCAGTAAGTTACCCCATCAGATTCAGAGATAGCCTCTTCAAGGAGAGACAAAAGTTCCCTGGACAGTGAGATCCATGAGAGGAGGACAGGGTTGGTCTTATTATGGAGCAAGGTTCATAGCAAGCACTCAAAAGACAGGGCAATGGACTAGACATCCAGTCGCTTAGTTCAATGTCCCTTTGCTGACAGAGGCAGGGAGCGTTCGTCCCCTCAGAGTCTGGCTCTCCTCTACTTCTGAGGAGACACTGATCTACCTAACAACCCGCCTGAGGGTCCTGTGCTTTCATTAATGTTTAGTTGCTAAGTCATATCCAACTCTTTTTGTGACCCCATGGAAATCCTGCCAGGCTCCTCTGTCCATGGGATTTTCCAGGCAAGAATACTGGAGTGGGGTGCTACCACCTTCTGCAGGTGATCTTCCAAACCCAGGTCTCCTGCATTAGCAGGTGGATTCTTTACCGCTGAGTCACCTGGGAAGCCCTTGTTGATATGCTCTTTCCATTAAACTCACTCTTCTTCACTGCTGATGACCTGGTGTGTTGGCCTCAATCTTCTTTAGGTCTAAATGGAAGCCACCTGTTCTGAGTGGAAAGAGGTGTCTTGTTTATCCATGACAGATGAGGTTCCCCGTACAACCTCCACCTCCAGAAGACACCAGGATAGTTGCATCAGGGGGAACCAGGCACCAAAGGTGGGGGCGGTCCAGCTGACAGGGCTGTGAAGTTCAAGTATGCAGCCAGAGGGTTAAGTTTAAACACCTCTACTTTAAAGATGAAGGGACTCAAAGGCAGGGTGTGAGTAGGGAGGTGGGTCGTGCAGATTAGAAATTCAGGAATCTTTCGATGGAGCAGTCAAAAAACTGCCGTTCTCCTTGTAGATAGAAAGGAAAAGAATGATTCACTAAGAAGCTCATGAAAAGTTGAAGTCACGGGAGGAAAGACTTTTTAAAAACTATCTGGGACTCCACGCACTGATTTGGAGCTAAGGCAAAAAAATTGCTGAGCTGGTATTTGCACTCATGGTGGTTTGAAGACTCACACGTAACTGCTCATATGTGTGAGTAAACGTGTTCCCACTATCTTCTCCCCTCTGGCGCCAATCTCACCTCCCTGGCCATGTGTGGGGTTCGGGGGAGAGTAGGGAACAAATCTCTCGCTAAGCAGGCCCTCAGTCACTTCAGCCCTTCAGGTTCTGCTCGCCTCTACAGGCTGACTGGTCCCCATGCTGGGCTGGGCAAGTATCTTTGACTCACTCTCAAGCATCGCTAGGAGCCTCTGGAGCCCAGGGGCCTTTGAAGAGCCCCCCTAGTGTCAGGGCTTCTGCCTGAAGCCCCTCTCTGCAGGGACTAGGCAAACTTTAGTAACACCCTGGAGCCTTCTCCCAGCCTTGGACCAAATGGAAACAATAAGGCTTTTTGCAGCAAAAAAAAAAAAACAAAAAAGAATTGGGGAGAGTGGAAGCTGGGTCATACTGGTAGGTGATGGGCCACCTCCATCACCTGGCTAGGCTAGGCTTGTCCCAAAAGGGAAGCAGAAAGACAGCCCCCCATCCACAGTTTCCCTTAGTTTGTTCCAACACAATCCTGAAAGTCAGGAGTTGGGATGATGTGCCCATGAGCCCTTACTATCAGCCTTTTTGTTCCAGCACCTGAGGGCTGGTACCCTCCTCCACACCCTCACCCTCTCCCAATTTCTGATAGTGCAGAGATAAGACTCCAAGAAGAAAGGAACTTAGAAATCTCTCCAAGTCTGACTTTAAAGATTATTGCCCTAGCTTAAATGAAAGTTAACACCTGTTTCTCCTGTTTGCTTTCCTCAATACAACCCTAATCACCATCCCCACATCACTGCCAAAGCCCCTCCCCTGCCCCGGCCCCCAGAGTCCCCAACTGCTTTGGAAAAAGATGGAGGCAAAAATAGAATTTTTTTCCCCCTAGTAAGCTCCTGAACAACTAGGGCTTTTCCCTATGACTTCAGAAACAAGTTATCACAAGCGGGATGACTTAAGAGAACACACATTCCCCTTTAGTTCCGGAAGCCAGAGTCTGGAATCAGGGTGTTTCCAGGGCAAAGCTCCCTCCAAGGGCTCTAGGGAGAACCTTATGTCTTTTGACCTCAATTGATGACGTCTGCAAGCACCCTAGTTGCTCTCACGTTCTGAGATTCCAGGTGGGTGTGAAATTGGGTGGGGGGGACACTTTTCAACCCACTTCTTCCCCCGTTCTCCCCTACCGGCCCTCCTTCCCGAGATTCTGCCATCAGGACTCAGCGGCAGAGCTTCCTCATTTGACTAGGTGGTGTGGTTCAGAGCGAGGAATGGAGACGCTGAGAGGGAGGTTCTGGCAACAGGACAGTTAGAGGCTGGTTTTCTTTAGGAGAGTACTCTCATTTCTGTGGTAAAAGTGAAGTCGGGATGGAAGAAGCACAGGAGAGAGTCTACCCCCCCGTCACAGCTCTTGCTACTGCGCCAAACTCCCTTCCCCAAGGCGGGCAACCGAAACACCCAGACCCCCCGGAAGCTTCGTAGAAAAGAGGGCTTCTGCGTGAGACAGCTAAGTGAGGCAGCCACAGGAGTTGCCTGTGCAGAAGCCAGACAGCGAAGACGCTCGGTCGTGTCCGACTCCCCGCGACCCCATGGACCGTAGCCCACTAGGCTCCTCCGTCCATGGGGAATTCGCCAGGCAAGAATACTGGAGTTAGTAGCCACTTCCTTCTCCAGGGAATCTTCCTAACCCAGTGAAGAAGCCGGGGGCTAGGGCTATTTATGGGATTGAAGCCTGGAGGGCGGTCTGAGGCGTGGCGAGGGTGGAGAAACCTGATTGGAAATAAGAAAACGGTGAGGTAGTGTTCTCCCCACGTCCCAAAATGGAGGCTGTTAGCGCGATCTGAGGGTGGAGTTTCGGTCTTCTAAGGTCAAAAGGTCGCTGAGCCGACACCCGCGCATGCCCAGTTGGGGGCGGGGGGCGGCGCCTAACCAGTCTCCATCAGCCCAGCTCCAAGCAGACCCAGCTGACTCCAAGTGCCTGGAGAACAACCCGGGCAGCCGTGCTGCGTGGAGGTCGTGGAACTCTCGTGGAAGCAATGAAAACAACCATGACTGGTGAAGGGGGTTGTAGTGGACTTGACTGAGGGGTATGAGTCTGTCCACTCTCCTGAAGGCTGCTGTCCCAGGGCCCAGACCCCATGACCAGCGTCAACCGCTCCAGACTGCTTTTGGAGGGACCACTCAGTGCCTGAGCTGCAGGCTCGTCCACCTGTGATGGAGAGGCAGTGACGGCGGATGTTTGTTGTCCGATGGAGACCCCTAACTAGAGCTTTAGAAGCTGAACGGATAAACGTTCTCATGATGGTTATTTTCCCATCCAACACCATCAGTTTGATGGTAAATGTGAAAGCACTTGTTTTTAAACCATCACTTAAAAAAAAAAAATGCCCAAAATCTCGAGGCAGTATCAAAATACCTGTGCTGACTCAGAAAGATAATTTTTCAAGCATCAGCAGAAAGGGGAACTTACAGAATTTGCAGTTTTAACCTCCTGCCCCACCCCCACTCTCAGCTCTGTAAATACAGTGGAGACAGTACATTGAAGTGGGTGGGGGAATATGGGTTTTCACGTTTCTGTCTTGCCTCTGTAACTAGATTTAATTCAGTTCGACAGGTAATATTGGCAGGCACTGTGTGTGTGTGTGTTCTTGGCATTTACAGATGAATTAGACCCAGGGTCTATTTCCACCTACCTCACAGAGCAACAGCCCAGCTGGGCAAACAAGCAGCTGAAATATACAGTAAAGGCTAGCAAGAGACTAGGGATGAAATGTTATTGGAGAGATGAATTTTTCTTCAGGGAGAGAAGGGACAAGTGAAGCAGGGAAGGATCCAGAACTTGTAGCCTGTGTGTTTACATTTGAGAATTCTTTTATTCCTTTGTTCAACAAAGAGTTGTGGAGTGCTCTCTATGTGCCAGGCCTCACCCTAGCTACTGGGGAAAGATTATCACTGGGAAAGATTGTGTATTCTTAGAACCTGAATTCTGTGTGAGGAAGGAGGCATGTATGGATGTGAGAGTTGGACCATAAAGAAGGCTGAGCACCGTAGAATTGATGCTTTTGAACTGTGGTGCTGGAGAAGACTCTTGAGAGTCCCTTGGACTGCAAGGAGATCNACTCTTGGGAGTCCCTTGGACAGCAAGGAGATCAAACCAGTCCATCCTAAAGGAGATCAGTCCTGAATATTCATTGCAAGGACTGGTGCTGAAGCTGAAGCTCCAGTATTTGGCCACCTGATGCAAAGAGCCAACTCATTGGATAAGACCCTGATGGGGGAAAAGGCAAGGAGGCAAGAGGAGAAGGGGGTGACAGGGGATGAGATGGTTGGATGACATCACTGACACAATGGACATGAGTTTGAGCAAACTCAGGGAGATGGTGAAGGACAGGAAAGCTTGGTGTGCTGAAGTTGATGGGGTCACAAAGAGTCAGACATGACTAAGGGACAGAACAACAACAACAGAGAGGCAAAATCCAGGAGGTTGGCAGATGTTCTACAAAGAGAGAAGGTGGAGGAAACAGCAAGAACAAAGGCGCTGGGGTGGCCAGGTGTCCATTTATCTGGAATGACCAGGATGTGGGGTGTATGCAAAGGGAAGGGTGGGCGCAGGGAGACAAGTGACATAGCCCACAGTCTGGTTCTGGAGGCCCCAGCACATGGCACAGACTTACTCTTATAGCAAGAGGGTCCATTCAAGATTGACAGGAGCCAGGAAAGTGATGCTATCATTGGTTTAAACAAGGGAATGATTATTCCCAGATTTAGGATTCAGGAAGATTGTTGCAGTGACGTGAACAGTGCCTTACAAGAGAAGAAGAGTGGCCCAAGGAGTCTGTTACAATGGCCCAGAGAAAATTACAAAGCCTGGGCTTCGGTGGTGGCTGAAGGATGGAGTGTGTTTTGGGTGGAATCGTGTACTCCAGAAGGATATGTTCAAGTTCTAACCCCTGGCACCTGTACATCTGACCTTATTTGTTAATAAAATCTTTGCAGATATGATTAAGTTCAGATGAGGCCATACTGGATTAGAATGGCACTTTATAAGAAGAGGGACACTTGGACCCAGAGACACGCAGGGAAAACACCATGTGACCATGTAGGCAGAGCTGGAGTGCTGCAGCCACAAGGACCGCTGGCAGCCATCGGAAGCCTGGCGAGAGGCGGGGAAGGACTTCTCCCTCAGAGAGCANACTTTATAAGAAGAGGGACACTTGGACCCAGAGACACGCAGGGAAAACACCATGTGACCATGTAGGCAGAGCTGGAGTGCTGCAGCCACAAGGACCGCTGGCAGCCATCGGAAGCCTGGCGAGAGGCGGGGAAGGACTTCTCCCTCAAAGAGCATCTCGGGGAAGAACCAGCCTTGCCAACACCTTGACTTCAGACCTCTGACTTTCAGATCCATGAAAGAATAGTATCTGTTGTTTTAAGCCCCCCAGAGTGATAATTTGTTATGGCAGCCCTTGGAAACCAATAGGGAGAGGACAATTCCAACTCAGGAGACACTGCAGAAGGAAAAGTAAAAGGAATAGGGGACTGGTTAGATGTAGGGATTGAAGATTACGAGGGCATCGTGACCATTCCTGGGTTTCCAGCACAAGGAACTGCATTCTGCACTCCTGTGGGACTGACACACCTTCTTATGGGAATGCTTGACACACCAAGTAGGTGCTTAGGAAACACGCATTAAATAAGTGTGGGCAAGGATGTGGGGAGCACTCGTCGGTGGGAACGTAAATTGTTTTAGCCGCTATGGGAAACAGTGTGAAGGTTCCTCAAAAAAATAGAACTACTGTAGGATCCAGTCAGTCCATTTCTGGGTGTTTATCTGAAGAAAACAAAAACACTAATTCACAAAGATACATGCACCTCAATGTTCTTAGCAGTATTATTTACAATAGCGAAGATAGAAAAGCAACCTAAGTGTCCATCAGCATATGAATGCATAGAGAAGTGAGATATATATATATGTGTGTGTGTATATATATATATATAAAATATATATGTATATAGTGGAATACTACTCAGCCATAAAAAGGAATGAAACTGCCATTTGCAACAACATGGATAGACTGGGAAGGTATTATGCTTAATGGAATATGCAAGACAAAGAAAGAAAAATACTTAATGTTTTCACTTGTATGTGGAATCTAAGAAATAAAACAAATGAACAAATACAACAAAACAGAAACAGGTTCACAGAGAGAACAAACTAATGGTTCCCAGAGGGGAGAGGGGTAGTCTGTATGAAAATCTCTCTCTGTCATGTCCAACTCTTTATGACCCCATGAACTGTATAGTCCATGGAATTCTCTAGGCCAGAACACTGGAGTGGGTAGCCTTTCCCTTCTCCAGGGGATCTTTCCATCCCAGGGATTGAACCCAGGTCTCCCACATTGCAGGCAGATTCTTTACCAGCTGAGCCACAAGGGAAGCCTCAGAGGGGTAAGGGGAGGGAAAAAATAGGTGAAGGGGACTGAGGCACAAACTACTAGGTATAAAATAAGTAAGTTACAAGGATGTAACATACAGCACAGGGAATATAGTCAATATGGTGTATTAACTTGGTGTGGAATATAGTCTATAAAAATAGCAAATGACTATGTTGTATACCCAAAACTAAAATAATATTGTGAGTCAGCAATACTTCAGTAGAAAAATAAACAAACATGAGTTTGCTCAGCTGTCATCTTTGGGCTCTGTCAAGAGCCACTATGCAACTTATTTATTTGTGTGGAAGTTGTGCGTGGAGGTAGGGTGAAGGCAGTGTGGCCGGAGCTGCTGGGAGGAGCCCAGTGGGTTGGAACCATGGCGGTACGCCTGCCCCTCTGATGGCAGGCCCTGGGGAGGAGCCCTGGGCATCACGGTGGAGTGGGGTGAGATGGGCCCCATGCTTCGTCTCTCTCTGTGTCACCGCAGGCCACACCCTGAGCTCTGCTCCTGTAGCCCTGATCAGGAGACGGACTGCAACATCTCTGGCTGCTGCCTGGGGCGTCTCCCCTGCAGCCTGCCGCTCCTCCTGAGGACCCTGCCTGGGGTCCTCAGGACCGGTGTCCCTGCTGCCTCCGCTGGTTCTTTGGATCAATCACAGGCCAAGCAGCTTCTCTGCCTCCCTTTTCCCAGAAGACTCTCCAAGGAGCTGGCTGAGGGGGTGGGGGTGGGGGGCGCAGCAGATGGTTAAGAAACCTGGTCCATCACGCACTGGTGGAACACCAGCTCCACACGCAATGCAGGGCCCGCGGGGTGCAGTCTTAGCAGGTGACATGTCAAGAGGATGGAAACTTGGAAGTGCCCCAGAAATTAGGAGGTTTGAGCTGATCTGAGCAGTTTTTCAGAGAAGATATTCAAAATCTAGGAAGCAAAGAGACAATCAGACGGGCCTTAGGAGAAGCCGGCTGCTGCTTCTCCTGTTTCTTCTCTGCCTTCAGGATTCCTCCCATGCCCCTCGTGATGAGGGTAAACCGAGAAGAGAAACTGGGAGGTGAGGGTGTGTAAGGGGTGGAGGCAAGTTGCTCGGGCTCGGGGCCCCACCTGCTGCCTTGTGGCTTTGACTTACCCTGAGTTCAGATCTGTCAGTGTCTTTTCAAGCCAACCCTCAGCGTTTCTGGGTCCTCTGAAAAGCTCAGCACAGTAACAGTGATGGACATGGAATGAGCGTATTTAGCTGTTCAAAATCGTCTTGTCCTTCTAAAGTCTCTGTGCTGACCCTCCAACGCTGTGAGTCCCCGTGAGAGCAGAGCCACCACCCAGAAACTCGAGATGGGGAGACAGAGGGACACAGCGGGGCCCTGACGGAGGCGGGACACCCCTCGCTCCCCTTGCCACCCCCGTGCTGTCAAAGGGGTTTTACTCCACGGCTGCTTATCTCCTTGTGTAACATCCTTTACCCGCTGCTGTCTCAGGGAGGGATGTGGTAGAGGAAAAACAAAACCAGCCTGTATTCTAGATACTGAGCTCCTGGGCAGTGAAATGCCTAAAATGTCAGGGTCAGACTGCTTTCCGAACAGTTAGAAGATCCAGAGAGGCCAGACCCGCTTCCCAAAGCACCACCCCCCTCTGTCGTGCTGCACCTGGCTCTAGAGCACCGTCACTGCTGATGATGCTGGCACGTCTGCTGATCCTCTGTCCCCCCCACCCCGGGAAGGGAAGCACCCTGGGATGGGGTGTGGAGTGCTTGGCTTTGCTCACCTTTGTATTCCTGCCACATAGAATGGGGTCTAGCAGAGAGTGGGGGGTTCATTCAATATTTTCTGGATGAACAGAGTATTTTGGGCAGAGACAGACTTCCCCCAGTGATAAGGAATGCTGCTGGTCACGGAGCAGAGGAGAGGACAGAGGTGCCTGGGGCATCTCCGCTGAGGTCCAGACATGGAATTCGCATATTAGCAAATGTGGAATTAGCACATTAGCTAATATGGAATTAGCATTGTTGTTGAGTTGCTGTCGTGTCCGACTCTTTGCGACCCTGTGGACTGAAGCAGCCAGGCTTCCCTGTCCTTCACCATCTCCCAGAGTCGGTGATGCCATCCAACTGTCTCATCCTCTGTGGTCCCCTTCTCCTCCTACCTTCAATTTTTCCCAGCATCAGGGTCTTTTCCAATGAGCCTGCTATTACTCATGTGGAATATGGAATTAGCATGTTAGCTAGCACTAGCACATTAGCTTCCAGGAGGGAAAGGCCGTGGTCCTGAGGGAAGCAGCAGGAGCCCCAGAGGACCGGGCTGTGTGGGGTCTCCCACGATGGGCCATCAGGTCCCTGGTGTGGCGCAGAAAGGGCAGGAGCCACCAGACCAGAGGCCATGTGGACCAGGATAATGGTCCCCTCCTAGCAGTGACCTCAGTGGATCAACAGTACCAGGATGGTATATGAGCTGATGTCACAGAACAGTCAGGAGGACCTCCACAGACCAGGGAGAACATCTCCCACTGTCTGCAAATGTGCCATCGAAATGGTGGAGTTCTAGTCATTTTCTTGGCAACCCACTCCAGGATTCTTGCCTGGAGAATCCCATGGACACAGGAGCCTGGCTGGCTATGGTGCATAGGGTCTCAAAGAGTCGGATACGACTGAAGCAACTTAGCATGCACACACGGTCGTTTTCTTACACACACGCGTCTGGGTAGATTCCAGCTACCCACCTGTGAGGTCCCTGGATTTTGTTGCACACACATGCTGTTCTCCTTCTGTTAGTGACGTGAAGAGAGGTGGAGAGATGGGGAAGGTCCATGTGGTTATTGTATATATGTGTGAAGCAAATGAATTTTAGACTAGTGGGGTTTTGTTTTTTGGGGGGTGGGGGCAGGTGGAAGTATCCAAAGCTATTTTGAGCACAGCAGGAACATTGTGCTATTTCCCCAGCATTTGGCTGGGTCTCTTCCCACTCGTTAGGCCAATGATAAGGGCCCCACAGGCTGCAGACCAACCTGTCATCTCTGCACACCAGGTTCCAGCCAGACTGGACCCTGATATGTGCCTCCGAGCTGTTAATCTTCTCCTACTGGCACTCTTAAGCATGGCTAATTACACGGAAAGTTTGTGTGTTCAGGAAAAACCGGTCAGGTCAGAGTCTCTTTTTGTTGCGTGCACGCTCAGTTTCGCCTGACTCTGTGCGACCCCATGGACTGTAGCCCACCAGGCCTCTGTCCATGGGATCCTCCAGGCAAGAACACTGGAGTGCGTTGCCATTTCCTTCTCCAGAGAGCCTCTTTTTAGCAACTAGATTCATTCACTATGGGCTTCCCTCGTGGCTCAGATGATAAAGATTCTGCCTGCAAGGCAGGAGACCCAGGTTCGATCCCTGGGTTGGGAAGATCACCTAGAGGAGGAAATGGCAACCCACCCCAGTATTCTTGCCTGGAGAATCCCATGGACAGAGGGGTCTGGTGAAGCAGTCTCTGGGGTCACAAAGAGTTGGACATGACTGAGTGACTAACACTTCCATTTCCACTTCCACTTCACTCACTATATGGCCTCTAAAGTAATTCACCTGAATTCCTTTAATATATACTTGAAAAATTCACATTTCCAGGAGCATGGCAACGAGCAGAGGTCAGTGGACTAGCAGTGAGGTTTGAATCCCATCTGGGTACCACGAGGGCTGAGGACAACCAGTTACTGATTAACATGATTTTTTTTCTCTCTCTGTGAATGTGAGATATCGCAAAAGAACAAAGACAAGCACCATGGAATTCAGACCCATGCCCAGTTGTCTGAAGAGAAGGAATTTCACCTATGAGTTTGAAAGGCACCATTTTTACCAGTATTTTCTACCCACTGAAGCCAGCCTTGTTCTGTACGTTACAGAGGATGGGATGGATACGGCTGGGTTCCAAAGGACCTTCATCGCAATCATGAGGCTGAATGCCCAGGTTAGAGGCAAACATCTGATTCCTGATACATGGAATCCTTCCTGCCATATCAGTACACAGAGGACATCACAGTCCTCAGCGATTGCAGCCACAGCGGGTGGTGAGCTGGTGAGCACTGAGGAAATGAACTCAGGATGTGAAAACGCAGGGTGCTGGCCCCAGAGAGCTGAGGCGAGAATCAAAGACATGATGTCAGTGAGCCCAGACTGTGGTGTCTTCCCATACAGATGAAAGCCTTAAATTCCTTAACTTGAGACACAGCTGGTTTTCTTTTAAACTCAGCTTTTGTTCCTACTGCCTGCTCTTTGTTGCAGACTCCTATATATCCCAGCTGCCCCCTCCCGGCCCCCAACTCAGAGCAGTTCTCTCAGGGTTACTTTAGAGGCTGCCTCCCAGGTTTGAAGTCCTAAAAATTCCCACCTAATAAAAACCCAAGTGGCGAAGCAGTAAAGAATCTGCCTGCCAGTTTAAGAGGTGCAAGAGACACAAGTTTGATCCTTGGGTCAGGAAGATCGCCTGGAAAAGGAAATGGCAATCCACACCAGTATTCTTGCCTGGAGAATTCTGTGTACCGAAGAGCCTGGCAGGCTGTAGTTCACGGGGTTGCAAAGAGTCAGATACGACTGATCACAAACACTTCAATAAGACAGAACTCAACTTTTAGGCTGTGAATATTTTTTAGTCAACATCCCCTGGAGCACCAGTCTGACACTGGCCCTTGTATATATTCTAACTATGAATAGGAATGCTATGGGCTTATTATTTTTTTACAACTATTTTTAAGCCAACTATTTATTTAAGTCGGTAATACACACACGGCACAAAATGCACACGGTATCCAATGAAAGGGTGTGGGGGACAAACAAGCCTTCCTACTCTTCACCCAGTCACCCTTCCCCAGAGGCAACCACCATTATCAGAGCTTATTTTAGTTCTAAGGACGGTGGAGGGACTCGGCCCCCCATGGAATTAGGCCCTAACATCACAATTAGGACCTGGACTCAGGCAGATTGTGTTCAGAGCCAGGCTGCACCACATCCTGACCCAGAGCCCAGACACCAGCAGGATTTGTCCCCTCGGACTGTGGAGATAATTAAGTGAGCAAAGCACTGCCGTCTTAGCACAGCCCCTGGTGCGTATTTACACTCCATAAGAGTTGGCTATTCTAGGCGATGATCGGGTGACTGAGTGTGGAGGAGCGTGGAAGGGATGAGCGAGGCACGCTGACTACCCCCCAGGGATAGCCTTCAGCCCTCATTACTCTAAGTGTGGTCCCCGGAAATCCCTGGGGGTTTGCTGGGCATTCAGGATCGCACACCCTTCCCCAGCCCAGCCCGATGAGAAGCAGCTGTCAGCCGGGCTCCATGGGCGACTTCCACACATGTGACCATTTCAGAAGCTCTGTCCTACACAAGCCCAGGGTCCTGGAGAGAATGGGCTGTGACCTCCACCTCCAGGGAGACAGTGACGCTGTTTCTCCACCTTTGGACAGGAGCCCCTTAGACATCTCAGGATGAAAACTCAGGACAAAAACACGCTTAAGGGAAAAGCCACTTCCCCTCCCACTCCCCAGCTTTCTATTCCATGTCAGACTTCCCAAACCTGATCACCTGTGACCTCCAGAGCGGCTGGAATGTGTCCTCTTTTGTCCTGCAGCTTGACAGCAACCCGATAGGGGGCTGGGGGCGGGGGGCATGTTGTTTTCAAAGTGATACAGGAGACGCAGTGGAGCCTGCCCAACAAGCTGCAGGGCTGCCAGGATGCCAGCTGGGGCGCCAAGGTCCTGGCAGTGGGGGGTTGTCTTAGTTAGGGCTTGCCACTAGAAGCCAGGTCCGCATGGGGTGAGAGATGGGAGGCTGGAGGGACTCAGGGGCTGACAATCGCTGGTGTCTGCTGTGTTTCTGCCCTTTGCTAAGAGTACGTGACGTGCAGGAAGCAGCCCGTGCCTTTAAAGTAGTATCGCATACTCTGATGGGCTTCCCTAGCGGCTCAGCGTGAGGAATCTGCCTGCAATGCAGGAGGTGCCGGTTCAGTCCCTGGGTTGGGAAGACCCCCTGGAGAAGGAAATGGCAACCCACTCCACTATTCTTGCCTGGAGAATCCCACGGACAGAGGACTGGTGGGCTACAGTCCTGGGGTCACAAAAGTGACAGACACGACTGAACGACTAAACAACAACGACGCCGTACGATGATGGGGGTACGTGTCTTTATATGTTTGTCAAAATCCACTGAATGTACACCACCAAAGGTCAAGCCTAATGTCAACTATGGACTTGGGTGTTAACAATATGTCAGTGTAAGCTCACTATTGTAACAAACATACCACTCTGAGTGGGGGATGTTAGCAGTGGGGGAGGGATGGGGGGTAAATGGGAAATCTCAGTACCTTCCTCTCAATTTTGCTCTGAACCTAAAACTGTTCTAAAAAAGAACTTACAGCTTGTCACTGGATCAGCTATAGAAGAGAAAAGAAAACCAAGGTTGAGGCTTGGGGCAGCAATGTGTTTTTTAAATATCACCATTACAACAGAAATACCTTAGAGCTAGGTTGTCCAATCGAGAAGACTTCAGTTCAGTTCAGTCACTCAGTCATGTCTAACTCTTTTCGACCCCATGGACTGCAGCATGACAGGCCTTCTTGTCCATCATCAACTCCTGGAGTTTACTCAAACTCATGTCCATCTAGTCGGTGATGCCATCCAACTATCTCATTCTCTGTTGTCCCCTTCTCCTCCTGCCTTCTATCTTTCCCAGCACCAGGGTCTTTTCAAATGAGTCAGTTCTTCACATCAGGTGGCTAAAGTATTGGAGTTTCGGCTTCAACATCAGTCCTTCCAATGAATATTCAGGACTGATTTCCTTTAGGATGGACTGGTTGGATCTCCTTGCA